CCTAGAATCTATGAATCATCTACAGTACAACTCTTTCTACTGATGTGCTTGTAGCTGTCCATAACACATTACTTATGCCTGTAATAGGTTTATAACATCAATCATTTTAGCCCCTTATAAACTATTTATAAATGGAACCTTAAGTGTGATTGCTATTATAATTGGTTTGAAATACAGAAGCATGAACTACACACTTCATTTTAACTTTTCGTTTGCTATGAATTTGAAGAAATGGAAATTAGTATCTCATTGCAGGGAATACATTCCACAGCTTAGCAGAGTTCATTCAGATGAATGCATGCTTATGCATCATTTTAACCACCTCTTCGCCATCTTGCCCAGGTCTTTAGTGTCCACAAACAACTTCCTGCTGCAACAGCTGAATAAAGAGCACAGTCCTAATTCAGTAAAAACAACGCTTTCTTCTGAGAAATTCACCATTCGTGAGAGATCGCCTCCCTTAGAAAGAACTCCTCCTGTATCAGCTCATGGCTATAGTCAGTATGGTAATGCAGAGCAATTAAGCAATTCTCCTCTCTAAAGGAAACATGGCGTCACTTCACATATTTAATGTTATATGGATTATGTTCTTTTCCATTTAAGTACAATATGAGATGTCAAACTGTATTTAAATGTGTCTAATGTCTACTTTTACTGAAGTGAATTCACTGTCATTCTAATCTTACCTTGCATTAGCATCTTAAGCACCACTTGGTGTTAGCATTCTTATGTTTTTCTGTCTTTATTGATTTCCCAAAAACATACAGAAGGCTCCTTATAATAAAACGGTAGTCTGCAGTCTTGCCATCCCAAGGAGGTATGATCTTCGCAGATACTACAGAGCATACAGAGTCACGCTTCAGGAAGTATTAGTGATTCAGTAGTGGATTCAATTTCCTCTGAAATGGTACTGAATCAGTGTCCCGTGCTAGGTGGCTGTTTGGGTGGAGATCCAATGTTTGATATAAAGTGTAAAATCAAGGTTATGTCCCATGGCATTTTTTGCAAGAATTTGGAGTGACCTGGTGAAATTTTATTTGGGATGATAATCTGCAGATAATTATTCCCTCTGCAATTTCAGTTTAATACAGAATAATTTCTCTCCCCCATCCTAAATTGTCCTGTAGTGTTGCTGTTTGCTGCTAACAGCTGTCATGTTCTACCCTAGAGATGGTTGCATTTCAGCTATGGGATGGCGATTCCAGTGTATGTTCACTGAGAAAGATTTAGTGAGTTAAGGTTGCCCGGTGGTATCTTGTGCTCTTCCACAACATTCAGTTCAATACAAACTGCTGAAAACCAGGAAATAAAGAGTTAAGGTAATTCAGCCTTTAACGCCTGAAAGGTGGACACCAATGCAACCTTAACTCTGCCCCCTGGAGCTGGCACTAGCCTGTAGGAGTTATCTGCATGCATTCTAGCTGCATTCACTGTGTTACGTGTAGCTGTATTGAATGCTGGAGGGATTGGTTGGGGCGGTTTAGCAGAACTGTGATTATGATCTGAGGTGATTATGGTCACCTCTGGGCGATGAAAGCAATGGATATTTGTGTACCCTGAGGGATGCAGTTTGCCTCATGTCAGCACTCAATTGTGTAGCTGTGCCTGTAGCGATACTGAGGGGGATTGTGGGCAGTGAGGTGGGATGTGGGAGAACGGTGTGGCTGTTGTGGGGGAGAAATAAAAGTGCTGTGTTAGAGGAACCCTGTGTGCAAATGTGAAAGGAGTGTAAAATGCAGGAGAGAGGGGGATGTTTTATGGAGTAGGCTCAGTGTCTGAGTGTAGGGCAGGTGTAGGCAGTGCACTGAACAGGAACCTCACCTGCATGCAAGTTTTGCCTTTGACTGTGTCCTACAGTGGGCATATGCCCTATTGAATGCACATGCTGCACTATCTACAAAGGTAGCAGATGTGTAACCCTTCTGCCAGCTGGTATTGGCAGTAACAAAGGCTGGGTTCAATATCTAGGGATTCCTCTTAATTACAAAACAAAACCCATTTGAGCCCCATGGCACCTCCCTCAAGGAGCCCGAAACCATAAGCCACTGTGTTACCTCTCTGCCTCAGTAAGAGAATTTTGCTGCATCTTAAACCGTGCGCCAGCTCCCTGCCACACCAGCAAACTCTGAGACTCTGCCAGTCTTAACTTTGCCTTGTAAGTAACATTCAGCGAAACCCACTTTCTCTCTGTAGTGTCCAGTCCCTCTCACTGGACATTCACAGAAGTTAAGTCCAGTGCCTCCAAAGAGCCAGTACACACACACACTAGCTCAGTGGTTTTAAAACTGTGGGTCGTGACCCAGAACTGGGTCGCAGATTGTAAGGCATTGGGTCGCGGCGACTCTGGTTAGCACCACCGACCGGGCCGGTAAAAGTCCCGTCAGCGGTGCTGCCCGGCTAAGGCAGGCTACTAGTCCCTACCTCTTCTGACACTGCGCTGCGACCCGGAAGCAGCCAGCAGCAGGTCTGGCTCCTAGGTGGGGGGGCCAGAGGGCTCCACACGCTGTCCTCGCCCTGAGCACCGGCTCCGTACTCCCATTGGCCAGGAACCGGCCAATGGGAGCTGTGGGGAGGTGCCTGCAGGCAAGAGCCGCGCAGAGCCACTTGCACACCTCCGCCTTGGAGCCGGACCTGCTGCTGGCCACTTCCAGGGTGCAGCACGGTCCACGGTGCCAGGACAGGCAGGAAGCCTGCCTCTGCACCCCCGCTGCGCCACTGACGGGGAGCCGCCTGAGATAAGCCCACGCCCCAACCCCGTGCCTTAATCCCCTGCCCCAGCCCTGAGCCCCCCCAAACCTGGAGCCCCTTCCTGCACCCCAATCCCCCCCAGCCCCACCCCAGAATCTGCACCCCCAGCCCAAAAGCCCTGACCCCCTCCCACACCCCAACCCCCTGCCCCAGCCCAGAGCCCCCTCCCACAACCTGAATCCCTCATTCCCGGCCCCACCCTGCAGCCCTTACCCCCGCACCCCAACCTTCTGCCCCAGCCCAGAGCCCCTCCCACACCCCAAACCCCTCATCTGCAGCTCTGTTGGGTCACGGGCATCAATAATTTTCTTCAACTGGGTCGCCAGAAAAAAAAGTTTGAAAACCACTGCTCTAGCCTGTTAGCTCCTTACCTTAATAGAACTACTCTGAGGTAAACTTATTGTTTTATTATAAATGTATTAGTAAAGAGCAGAGAGTTAAGTGATACTAAGCAGAGATCATAGAGACCGAAAATAGGTACAAATTTGACAAAATAAAGCACACTTTCCAGTGTCTAAAATGTAACCGATTATAATCCTGGTCTCATGCAATTTCTCACCTACAGTCAGAGGGTCCGAGCTGTTGGCCCCGGGCTATGGCTACACACAGACACTCAGGGTGTCTGGCTGTGAGAAGCCCAGGTTGGGAGCTGCAGCAGTCAAGCATTGTGAGGCACCCCACATTGCAGGGCAAGTGGTGACAGTCTCTCAGTGCTCTGGCTTGCACCCTGGAATGTCATAAGTATCTAGGACCCTTAAATCGACGGCTCACCACTAGTAACAGCTGCCCTGTCCCCTCTGTTTTTTACTTGGAGAGAGCTCCCTGCCCCCATTGTCAGTGAGTGAGATTACAGTTATGGTGACCGTAGCGAATATGCGTCAATTAGGGCATATTAAGTACAGTTCTGCTGCCCTTTAGTCATCAAAGAGGGATAACATTACCTCTGCATCCAAGACTTAGTGAATTTTAACCCAAACCAGCCAAAATGGATCACCTTGGCAAGATGTATGTGTCTGTGCAGATATGTATCAGAGGGGTAGCCGTGTTAGTCTGGATCTGTAAAAAGCAACAAAGAGTCCTGTGGCACCTTACAGACTAACAGATATATCTGGTGTGGTCAGTTCACGAGGTCTTTTCCTCCAGTTCAGCAGTAGACCGAGAGCTCATTCGGACCACTGTCTTACCTAGGTCTTAGCAACACTGCTCAGAGGGCAGAGTTAAGGTGGCATTGGCAGGTACCTTAACTCTCTATTCCCTGGGTTTCAGAGGGTAAGTTTTTCCCCTTCTCCTCCCCCCAAACCAGAGTACCCTATTTCCTCCACCCTGGGCCAGGGGCCTTTCCCCTCACCATTAGTCATCTTTCTGGGTGAGTGATAAGTCACTCAGGATTTCAACATTTAAACTCTATTGGGAGGATAGGCAGTGCTGAGATGGGGTATTGGTACATTTTTAACCAGTTGTTTGATCTATAGACAGTGGAAGGGGGTGCTTGAGGCAGTGGCTATGCTAAAGAGCCAGTGGGGGCTTCATGGGCCCCCATTATCCCCTCTTTCTGTTTTCTGATTTTCCCCAAAATCAGTAGGGTTCTGGTCACCAATGTCTAGAACTTTCCCTGAAATTTTGGAATTGATCAGTTGCAGCATTCAAAAGTTTAGACAAATGGGAAAAAACAGTAATGCCACTTAGTTGAGGGTAAGGCCTTGGTGCACTCAGTGAAAAATGTCATGAGTACGTCCTGTTTAAGGGGCTGTGACGTGGGAACCCCTTGGCCTTCAAGTGATCATTTCCATTGTTCAAGAAACATGATTACATTATCCGGTCTTTCATCTTGCCTCCAGCCAACCTCTGCTGACTGAGGAATCAGGGCTGACTCTCTCCTATGCTACTGCAGGTGGAGACAGTAGCAACATGACCTGCCATCGTTCCCACATCAGCGGAGAGCACGTGTAGTTTATTGTCTATGAGAAAGTGGTTTGAACTTCTTCTAAAGTCACTGTACAAATTAGCGGGGCACATTCCCCTAAAAGTTAAAAAACCCTTGAGATGCAGCTACTAGCCCTGTTCCTACAAATCCTTCTCAGAGCTCTGCCATGTGCCGGGTTCAGCTTTCCAGTGCAGGGGTGTAGCATGTCCCCTTGAGCCACCCACGTCATCTGATCAGAGGGTGGCTGGAAAGCCTCTTGCCTCGTCTTGCTGCCTATGCCCATTTCACTCTCTTCGTTGCATGAATGTTTGCCATGTACCAGTCTAGAGAGCTGAGCTCTTCCGTGAATGTTTTCAATGGAGCTTCCCCAAAGGGGCACACGCGGAGATGAACTTCGAGCAACCGATGGGGGATGGTGAAAGCCACGGTTTGAGCCCCACGTGTGCAAAAATAAACATTGTCAGAAGCTGCTGATTTTGTGAAATGTGGTTTTGTTTTGTTTGGGGCGGGGGTGTATCTCAGGAACCCTGTGCTCAAAGGACACCAAATTTGCACTAGTAACCTTACCTAGCTCCTCCATGGGGCACACAATTTCAAGACAAGCTGAATAAGCATGCAGGTTTTAGAGTACTTAGAAGAGTCATCTTTTAAATAGAAGGCACGGCTCAACCTGAACTCAACTGAGCAAAGAAGAGAGGAAACTCACACCTGTAGAATCAGATATATTTTAACATAAATATGATGGGTTGGACCCCCCATTCTGGGATGTCACCTGATCTACTGGGATTTATTTCACTGAGCCTGCCTGCTCCACGAGCCTGGGCTCCCTCGCCCTGTTTTGCTGACTTCGGTTCTCTGGCAGCACACACAGGTAGGGACGCACCAGCTGTAGAATCACAGAGTCTGCAAACGGCTCTTTGAGAAAACTCAGCTAGGAAATCGCCCAGCACTCAAGTGCAGCTCCCCTCTGGAAAGTCCGCCCAAAATGATATTGTTTTGCGCTGTAGAGAAATGTATTCAACGTAAGCTCATAAAAGTTGCAGAGTTTCTGTAGCTTAGAGTTCCAGGTATTTCTCTTTACAGACTAGACTCCTGTCTTCATCTGGACTCAGCCCTTGCCTTTCCCACTGCTCAGTTCCCTTGTCTCTTCGGGTACTTTCAGCAGGCTTTCTTCTTGAGCAGGAAGAGTTCTGTTTGCCTTACTCCCCAGTCTTACACAAGATTTACATAAGGCGGGAATCTTTCGTTTCCCAGTCTTGACCTCCCCCTCCTTTTAATGGAAAATTACTAGAAGTCCAAGATGGTGTTTAGTCCCAGGTGACAGGACCACCTGACCTAGTAGCGTCACAGCTACATCCCAGGATACCTCTCAGGAAGGAGATAGATTAGTATCTTCACAGTCTTATTGTTTCTTCCTAATGGCCCATCAAGGCTGATGGCCTGTTGTCTGGTGGGTGTCTCCCAAATACACAGAGTTGTAATTGTTAGATAGTCAATATTCCTAATTTTAGATCAGGAGTCTCAAACTCCCGGCCCGCGGGCCATCTGCGGCCCGCAAGCCTCCCCAATGTGGCCCGCGGGGCTCCAGAAGTTTTGGGACTGCGTCTCTCCCTTGGCCCCACCTGCCGCCCCCGGGCGCTTCCCCGTCAGAGGCCCCGGCCACACAGCGGAGCTGAGCGGTGTCTGCCTGCTCGCTCCAGCGGCTGCCGGCCCCTCCCTGTGGCCCAGGGGCGGGGCTGTGCCTCTGCGCGCTTCTGTCCCCACCCCGAGTGCCCCTGCAGCCAATAGGATGCTGCGAGGGTGGTGCCTGGGGGCAGAAGCGCATGGAGGCCCCCTGGCCTGCCCCACCTTGGAGCCCCAGGTAAGCACAGCACCCCTGACCCCCTCCCAGAGCCTGCAGCCCCACCCCTCATACCCCCTCCCCCACCCAACTCCCTCCCAGAGCCTGCACCCCAATCACCTACCCCAGACCTCCTCCCCCAGCCAAACTCTGTCCCAGAGCCTTAGGCAGGTGGGGGGGGCAGAGTTTTGGGGGGCATGAGTGACATTGGCCCACTGGGAGGATCTGAGGACTGGCACTGGCCCTAAGGTAAATTGAGTTTGAGACCCCTGCTTTAGATACAGAAATGATACATGCATACAAATTAGATAATCACATTCAGTATATTATAACCTTTCCGATGATACCTTATGCCATAGCCATATCGTAAGCATATTTCCATACGAATATGGGATGTAACGTCACGAGTTAATTGCTTTTATGTTTAATGATTGAAAGCTAAATCCGGGGATATCTCTGAGCTCCATGTTCTTCCGGGTATGCATCAGTGTGGATCCCACTGTAGGTGCACATGTGAGATTGGGGTTCTCAATAGCAGTGTCCGATGGAACTGCACATGCATTGTGTGTCTCTTACTGCTCCCATGAGAGGGCATAAAGGGCAGAGTGGCCATGACCCTCCCTCAGGTTCCTCTGACCACGTGTGGCAGCGTGTCTGAGCCACTAGTTCTTAGCTCCAGCTAAATCTCTCAAAACTCTTCTGATCTCCTCTGATATATGACCCCGAGGAACATCTGTGACCTGTCTGGAATAAATACTGACAGTCAAACCTCCCTGGACAAGCCCCCTGTGCAACCCACCATACAGACCTCCCTGTACAGATGCGATGCTTCCTGGTGGTACAATGGGTGGTGAGGCACCTCGCTACCACATACCCTTAGCATAAGGGGGCACTGTCTGTTCCTGCCATGGGTCAGATCCCTGACTCCACCAGCCACAGGCAACACAAGCCTTCCCCTCTCAGCCTGTGTAGGCTCTGCTGTCCCTCGGCAGGTTAGCGAAAGGCCCACACCAACCCCTGCGCCCTGTAAGCTTCTCCCTGGAGTGTCCAGTCCCTGAATCACTGGGCACTCACAGTATTCACAGACTCACTGCTCCCAAAGGAACCCTGCCCCTCATCTTATTGGTTACAGCCTAGATCAGAGCTCCACTGGTCACACAGCACCTAGATATGTTTATAGTGAAAACAAGCAAAAGGGGATGTAACAAAGAAGAGATTCTAGAGATATCAAATAAAAATATTGGAAACGAATGGTTACATATAAAATAAAATCATAACATGCATCCTAGAACCTAGACTTAACTAACAAGATATTTTCACA